AAGATCCGATGATGCGGCTTGTCTCATGATGTGCAAATTACTAATTATACCAATACGATAGGCTTGACTGCCAGCAAGATCTATCAGACTCAATCAAGAAACTGAATTCCAAATCCAAGCTCTTCGTGATCCGGGAGGCACCGCAAACTCTATTCCCCAAGTTATTCAAGACTTGGAAAGTCACCCACCTCGTCTTTGAGCGAGACACCGATGCCTACGCAAAAGAAAGGGACAGAGTCATCACCGACGCAGCCAAGAAGGCAGGAGTCGAGGTTGTGACGCGCTACGGCAGAACGTTATGGGACAGCGACGAGGTTGTGAAAAAGAATGGTGGCAAGCCCACCATGTCCATCATGCAGCTCCAGACTGCCGGACACAAGATCGGAGAGGTTCCGAAGCCGATACCTGCACCGAAACACCTCCCGGATCCGGGAGAAATGCCAGTCGATTTCGAACAAGAGAAGCACTTGAGCGAATTAGACGTCAATGCTTCTCACCGAAGCAAGACAGACAAGGCATACAACAGCATCGCAGGACCCAAGGGTGATTTCGCCATCGAGACGCTAGAGGAGCTCGGCTTCCCAGCGGCCACGACGCCACACCGCGGGGGTGAAACCATTGCCCTCAAGCAGCTCGAGAACGTCATGGCAGACGTAAAATATGCAGCGACTTTCCAAAAACCGAAGACCAGTCCCGCCGCCTTCGAGCCGCAGTCCACGACGCTTCTCTCGCCTCACATGCACTTCGGCGCGCTCTCTCCGCGGCTCTTCTACTGGCGCGCACGCGAAGCAGTTGAGAAGTACGGCAACGGGGCGTCGAAGCCGCCAGAGAGCTTGACAGGTCAGCTTCTCTTCAGGGACATGTACTTCGCTGCCCAAGCAGCCATTGGATCGCCCTACATCCAGACACTCAACAATCCTACCGTAAGATTTATTCCCTGGCACCTACCCTCGAAGCATGAGGACACAGAGACGGGCACGAACGCCATCAGCGGGGAGTACCACATCGACTCACCGCACGCGCACGAGTGGTTCCTGCGATGGAAGGATGGTGTCACGGGCTTTCCATTCGTCGACGCCCTGATGCGTCAGCTGCGCGTCGAGGGATGGATCCATCATCTAGGCCGGCACATGGTGGCTTGCTTCCTGACTCGAGGCGGCTGTTACGTGCATTGGGAAAGGGGCGCCGATGTGTTCGAAGAGCTGCTCCTCGACCATGAGCCGGCGTCCAACGCGGGCAACTGGCAGTGGTTGAGTTGCACGGCTTTTTACTCGCAGTATTTCCGTTGCTATAGCCCCATAGCGTTCGGGCAAAAATGGGATAAGCAGGGCGACTTCATCAGAAGATGGGTGCCGGAGCTGAAGGATCTGGATGCGAAGTACATCTATGAGCCCTGGAAGGCGCCGAAGGCAGCGCTGGATAAAGCAAGGGTCAAGATTGAAGGGAACGGCTTGGATGATACCGACAAGAAAGAGGAGGGCGTATATCCCGAGGCAATGTTTGATTTTTCGGAGAGGAGAACTGTGTGCATTGCCGCGATGAAGAGAGCTTATAGTATCGGTCTCCACGGAAACGACGAGGCGGTCAAAGATGGATCGTGGAAGGAGTTGTTTGAGAAAGCGGGTGAGACAGAGATGGAAGGAACGGACGGGTTTGGCACCGACGATGATGGCGATGACGCTGATGACGCCGAGCGTGCTGCGAAGCCTCGGAATGGAGGCAAGCACACGAGGAGTAAAAGCGACGTTGTCAAGACAGGGCCGATGGACCGCCACGTCAAGAGACAGAAGAACTAAGCACCTGCATGGTCCTTCGTGCCTGCCCCAACACATCGCGAGGTTCCGTAGCTGCCTCACTTCAAGTTGTTGCATGCTGGCGTGGTGTTGCTCCTTCTCGCCATGTCTTGTTGCGCGGGTGAAGCACGTGGTACCTACTTGTAGTCTATGATTCATGAAACAGTGGTTGCCACGTGCTGATTCCAGCGGGCACCCTTTCCCTCTCCGTTTCAGCTTCACGATGGCCAATATTACGGCTCGACTGCCAGGTGACGGGAGACCACCGTGTGGGAAGATGGACCATGCATATCTCAACTACTAGGCACCATTCTCTCCGGTCTTCGTGGCCATGATTATCAGCTTCAGTTATAGGCCCGCCGCCGGATAATGATAGACACATTTTGTGAATAACCCTTTAGCAGATACCTTAACGTTCGCATAACCATCACTTCAATACTTATACCAAGCCTCTCGCAGTCTCAGACCCGACCACACACATTGCCCAAGCGAACCTCAAAATGATAGAATCAACAATGAAAACCGTCGTCCCAGTGGGCATCACCGCCCGGTACATATCGCTCGCAAACTTCAGCCCCAGCCCCGCAAGCAGCGCGGAGATAGTGGGCATCGTCACCACAACTGTTCTCCTCGCATCATTCCTCTGCGTCATGCTGTTCACCGGCCTCCGAGTTTTATTTCTCACATGGTACGCTTCTTACTTCCAGATAGAACCAACATCAGACGTCGAAAAAGAGGCGCGACAGGCAATTTGCAAATGGGCTCTGGGTTTTCTGGGGTTGTCACTAGCCCCGTGCAACGATGGCGAGCAAGGCGGTATTCCCGCCGTCGCTGACCTCTGTGATTTGGCCAAGTCAAGTTCGAGCTGCATGCCCCAGATGAGGATCACGCGGCGGCACAACATCCTTCCGAACCGCAACTACTACACGCAGCTGCCGCCTCGAAGCAAGCTGCTGTCTCGCAAGCCTCTATTCGCACCGACTGCGAGCGCTTTGTTCGGCTCCCTCAGACGGGGTAATAATACCAGAAGGGCAGACGTGACATTGGAGATGGAAGAGGGCTTGTTCTCGGGCCAAGACGCCGCTGCTGCACCTACTCCTCCTTCCACTCCCTATGATATCGACGTCGAAAACGACACTCATTTCACCCGTGCTCGCGAATCGTCGCTCTATTGCACTTATAGCGGGCGGGGTATGACGAGAGAAGGACAGTTTCCCGGCAGGGGATCTTTTTTACAGGTCCGCACCACGTCTCTGTGAGGACAGCAGGTCGCCGCCGACAGTGCGGGCTTTGCCAACAACAGGGTACGGTGGGATTGGGGTTGAGATTGGGTTTAGGTTTGAGTGTGAAAAAGAAGATAAGGAAGAAACGAAGGTGGTGTTCGATAAGTGCACTTTTCAGGTGGCATTGGAACATAAGGAAGAAGAAGGGAGTCGTGCCGTCGTCGGAGATACCTGAGTTCTTGAGGAAAGGGAAACGGCGTGACTGGGCACACGAGGATAGTTTCTCTCCGCTGGTTTTTCCCCTTGGTGTTAACCCTGGACAGGACAGACGCTGTCTACGCAGCTACGGGGGCTGGAGATGGCTTTCATTCATCGATCGTTCGGATGATGATAATGGTGATGATGTTTCGTGTAAGACGGCTCGTCGCACGAGGTTTGAAAGTTGGGAGAAGAAAGTGATAGAGAAGATAGATGAATAAGAATAACGCATTTCGATCATGTCAAATGCTACCTGTCTCTTGACAGAAACAACAAAAAGAAGTTGGTACTCAGCCAATGTAATAACTCGCATCTTGCATGAAGCACGGTCGAATTTCTTGATCTAGCTTCAGGCATGTTGTTGCACCCAAGTTATTTCTTGTTATTCGAGGAATAGGGACTCATCTCATCCCTTGCCGGGACTGGTATATAAGCTTTGTCTTGTCTATTGATTACGGATGCTGCTGTTGGTACAATTGTGCATGTAATAAATGATGCAGTTTTGCTTGTTGGTGATTTCAACGCTTCGCTTTGGCTCGTCTGGTCAACTCCCCGAGTTCTGTCTATCCGTGCGCCGAGATGTCGTAATGATGCGAATTCTCGTTTCCTGACCCCATGCCCTCTTTCGCTCCGACACGCAACCAACCAGCTGGGGACAGTTCCATCATACTAGCGGATTCCGTCCTTGCCCTCAGTCTCCGCTCGAGGGCCTCTTGATCGTGGATGGGTGGTTGATTGATTGACGAGCCGCCTGGCACAGTCGCTGGGAGTAAGTTTATGACAGTGACTAGGCTCTAGGCCTTCTTCTTGAGGTCCTTCGAGGCTTGCTTCAGACTCCAGTTGCACTCCTCGTAGGCGCGACCGGCACCGAAGCCGACGCCGACGAAGGCGGGCCAGGCGCGCCGCCGGAACAGGAGGACGGAGAAGACGACGCCGAAGCCGAGACCGAGGGTCGATTTGATGAGCATGTTCGAGACGCAGCGGTCCCACTAGCGAGGGGTATGATGGTTAGCCTTCGCTTCGTTTTTGGTCTCGTGAGGTATTTCGTTCCAACGATGCGATTATATGCTTGGTCGTCGATCGGTTGTGGAAGTCTAATGCGGGAAGATCGGGCTGCAACTCATGTGGAGAGTGAATGGGCCTACCTTCTCGTTCAGCAGGGCCTCGCTCACGGGCCGGCCGACGGCGCTCGAGGGCGCGGGAGTTGTTGTCGATTTCTCGGACATTTTTGCGAGCTGTGCGAAAGCGAAGAGCAATTGTTAGTCGAGATGTGGTCAATTGACCTGCAATGGCAATTCGGCCGGGTGTCGCGTGCGGGCGTACCTGGGGGTGTCTGTCGGGAGAGGTGGCTGAGGAGAAGGGGGGTTATTTTTTTTTTTTTATCGTCCCGCGAATGGTGACGTTTCGGCTTTGGCTGGCATCGATGATGAGGTTCGGGATCCAACGAAATGGAGACGGAGCCGGCTGCGATGGTATGTACCTAGGTATGTACAGCTCAGGCTGGCTTGTCAGGGCTGGCTAGTTGAGTTTGCTCTAGCCTCTTGGCGTTGCGACCCGGCGAGCCGAAGGGAGGCAGCCCCGTCGCTACTAGGTAAGTACCTAGGTATCTCCCAAGATTTGGGGGTAAAGAAAAGGGCAGTTATATTAAGATCTGCTTAAAATTGCTTTCCTATACTTAGTAAGTAGGCATGAGAACAATCTAGAAAGAAAATATAGAGAAAAAGACTGGACAAGGCCGGAATCGAACCGACAACTCGGGCCCGGTGAGCGTGAGAGCGGGTGTTGCCCGAATGTTACCATTACACCACTTGCCCTTGATTAACAGTGAGTGCGCTAATCCCAATTTGCTGTTTTGGTCTTGGCAAGAACTTATCTTATCGTTATCGCAGCTTTGCCAATCGCAGCTGTAGCGCAAGCTGGCGGTAACTTTTGGCCCCTTCGAGCTTGGAGGGGAGCTCTCCATGCGACACTTAAAGCTAAAAAAAAGTTCCTGGCTCGCGAACATAGTAGTGTACTGGAGCGCAGTATCAATCCTACCAAATTTGGTGGTCCTGTGATGCCCATTCGCTCCGCTCCGCAATGGAAGCCATGGCCATTGATGGCGAGGTAAATGCTGATGTGCATGTAAGTAGCTCGATGAGCTTTTCATTCTCTTTAATCAACTTCTACTAACAAAGTATCCTGCTCCGTCTTATAGTCGCAGCAACTGGCACTTATACGCGCCGTCAGGACCCTCGACGACGACACTTCTTCCCCCCTCCCCGACAAAATCCACAAGCTATGGCTACTGCTCGCCGCAGCAAAGCGCACTCGATTGTATGCCGTCGAAGAAACCGTACTGCGATGGCTGCTCAAGCAGATGGGCGGCAACACCGACGCCGCCGAACAATCCCGCCGATACCCTCTAACCTGGACCGTTCTCGCCCATGTATTCCCCAAGATACCCGCCCAAGCCCTAGGGAGGACGCTCGCATACACACGCTTCGTATCCATTCTCAATAAGACTCTTAGAGATATTACGGCACCAGAAATATGGACGAGCACACCTGGGAACCAAGAAGACGCTATGACGGCAAAGAAGAGGAAGAGAGGCGCGGGACTGCCTGCCACCCTCGCAGAGCTCCGAACTCCCACAGCTTGTCTGAGGACGGCCTCAGAAGTATTTACATCTGTGGCAATTCTGCTAGAGCAAGGCACTGCTCTATCCGGCGAGGTCACTCCTGAGAAGAGAGTTGGCGCAGAACACATCAAGTCTCTCTTCTCATCCTCCAGTGACGATACTCGAGATATAACCGCTAGATTGCTGTTGATATGCGACCACTCGCTCTCCCTTCCCGACGTGGACTTTGTAAAAGGTCAACAAGCCTGGATCGATACCCTGACCGCAGTATGGAACCTCCGGCTCCATAGCAAGGAAGACAGCCTCGAGTTCGCTAAACATGCTTATGAGAGAGTTTCCCTTACGTTGGCCAAAGTCGAAGAGGATGACTCTACCCATCCTCGAAACCACATCTACAGCACGTGCCGTGATATCTGGGCCTCTCAACTCAGGAGATTCTTGGGTGCATATTTCATTCGACCTGCCAGGCAGCGCTTCACTCAGGACAAGAACATAGACATGTTGAAGTTGGCCTTGCAGATCGCCCAGAAGGACGTCGTCGCATCGACCACAGCCATGTGGAGTATAGCCGCTAGGACTCCCCGAGACACCAGTGACCCAAAGTCCAAGATCGAACACGATGCCTGGATCGAGACCATTTTTCAAGTGGTAGTTGAGGGGCTCAAACCTTTGACTCGACAAAAGAAGAATGAGGTCCTTTCTCGACTGCTAGATGTTGCTTTGCAGACCCGATCCATTCCATATACCGAGACGCTACGGGAACTATACCAGCAACACAACCCCGACGGAGCTGACATCGACTGGACATTGTTGTCTAAGATCCTTGCCTGCGACGCGGAGGTATTCCTTCTGGCTGAAACCCCAGGGGCCATTTTCGACATCATTAGCAAAGTCTCGAGTAGTGATACTAAGACGAGTAACCATGTTGTCGATAATGTCATTATCCCTCTACAGGGTGCATATTCTAATGCACGGAACCTGGCCAGATTCATCACACACTGGTTTAAAAATCTCGGTGCAGCTGAATCTGTGATGCAATCGATATGGTTTGACCAGAAAATCCGACAGCATTTGGCAACCCTCATACAGCCCAGTTTCACAGGGTCCCAGCTGCTACGACTCTTGGAAGATCTAGAGTCGACACCTAGCAAGGCAGGAGAGGTTCTCGTTGTTCTTGATGGTATTTGTGCCGGGATTACCGACGAGAACATAATTGCGATTATTCAGTCGAAGCTCTTTTCCATAATGGATCAGATTTGGGGAGACATTTCGCCCGAGGTCCTAGCGTTAAGGTGGCGGATTTTCGGGTTTCTGGCCTCGTGGGAATCGTCAGATGAGTGTAAGAAGATCTGGAAGAAGGTCAAATCCGATTTGAAGCCAATCCTCAAAAAGGGCTCTTTGACGGGCACCGAAACCTTCGAGGCATTCTCTTGTTGCTACAAACTCTGTCTCGCGAACCATATCGGTGGCAAATATGAAGAAGATCTCAACAAGTTGACATGCTCTATGGTGGAAAGACTGATCAAGTCTGCCAAAATCGAGGCTGACCTCGAGACTCTCAAACTATACGTGGATCTGGTGTTCAATCACCTACCCAGACTCAGTGAGCAACCGAAACAGGAAGTCAACACTTTGACTGACCAGCTCGTCAAATTACTGTGGTCTGTTAGCTATAAGCTGCCATCAATACCAACCCAACAACGTCTTAATTATGTACAGCCATTGATTGAGAACTGCGACGTGGCAGATGAGGAGCCGATGGTCGATGCCTTGATAGCACCGTTCTTAGACACTCTCGACAATTCGGGAAAGAAGTGCGGATGGACGCAACCGCAAAGTCTCGATCTTCTGTCAATTCTGCTCGAGTTCCCAGTTGAGAGCTGGACGAGAGGCCGCCGGAAGCGAATGATGGCTTCGTGGAAAAAGCACAAGTCTACGATTAACTCGCACGCAGCCAAATACCCATCATATACCCTCGCCGTCCTACGGCTGCTTGTGAAGATTATGCAGCAGCCCACTTTCTATGAGGTATGTCTTCGCTTTTGTCATGATACGGGATGGCTATTGCCTTGCCACTCATGATGATTATACTCTTACTGATATTTCTGCAGGACATGAAATTTCTCGATATAAGCGATGTTTGCTCTGAAACAATAATCGGCAATGATATTCTCCTATGCTTGGCTGAGAAGTTGGTTGACACCACTATCAGGTATATCGCCTCATCTCAACCCCATCCAAAGTTCGCATACTGACTATGATCAGACAAGTTTTCGCGAATCCGAATGACTTGACGGAGTCCTACTTGTGCGACGCCTACAAGTACACCGAGAACCCCAAACTCGGGCAAGGTGCAATCGCGTACACGCAAATCCTTATCTTAAAATGCCTCGCTGCAGTAGTTAAGGAGCACAAAGCTTCTCACGAATCTTGGCGGAAATTTGGTGTCAAGCCTGATGCTTTTGGGAAAACGCTTGCTAAGCTGGTTAAAGAGGCCCTTGACGAATTTGTATCAAAGTCTAAAGCCCCACTTCCTGAAGAGTGGCTCCGGCTCTTGCCGTTGGTCTTAGATGCCGCGCAAGTCATCAGCGACGACGCCGGCTCTGAGACCAAGATCGAGCTGTCCGACGACACTGTTACTCTCTTAGAGAGAGTCGGCGACACTGCGTTGCTCGGAAACTCGGCTGCTGTCTGGAAGCTCAGATCTTTCCTCATTAAACAACGCCCAAACCGTCATACCGCAGCGTCACTCAGCGCGTTTCTGGACGAAGGCGTCGAAGGTGTTAGTGACGAAATTATATATGGGTTCGTAGGTGCCTACACGCAGGGAAAGAGCAGGTCTGCGCAAGACCAGTTGATTGGCGAGCTAATGGCCCGTGACAAACTTACCGGAGGCTCTATCGGATCTTTGCTAGCTGCTCAAAGGCTCCTCGAGCTTTACCCAGGTACGTTCGAGTTCCGAGTCTTTGACTACGTGAAATAACAGCTGACATGATATTGCAGCGCCAAATGGCAGCGATCAGTCAGCCGATACGCCAAAATCACTAGACCTCGCCAAAATACACGAGCATTACACCTCACATCTCAGCCGCACCAACTCCCTCCCTCACTTCAAGCAGATATCCGAGACAATGCTCTTCCTCCTCGACAAGCACGCCGCGTCCATGAAGCAACACAACATCGAAGCCACCCTAACAGCCGTAGTCGAAGTATGTTCTGCCCACGGCCCCAAAATCGAGGGTCCCAAAGCCGCCGGCGAGATCTACTCTTCGCTGTTCAAGGTCGTCGCCCTCATCATCAAACGCCATCGTGTGCGCCTCAGCGGACACTTCCACATCCTCCTCAAGACCCTCCGCGCGCTTCTCAGCGTCCTCCTCGCCGACCCTTCATCATCCTCATCATCGTCCGCAACAGCATCCCGCCGCGGAACCGCATCTACTCATCCCCCTTGGCTCCAAACCCGGTTAGCCCCACGACACGGCGAGCGCTTCGCACGCCTCCTGACCTTGATCTGCGAGCCCTCAGCTGCCTCCGTCGCGCGCGCACGATCTCACACTGCGCTGGACTCGGCCACGGACGTGGCCAAGCGCGCGGCGGGGATGCACATGTACCTGGTTCTCGAAGTATATATAAAACTGCAGCTGCAGGGCGAGGTGTCCCGGGAGATGAGAAAGGCGCTCGAGGTCGGGTTTTATAGTGTCCTGGACATCACGGGCAAGGGCAGGCGGAGGGTGCTGAATGAGAGTCTGGATGTGGGGGGCAGGGCGCTGTTTAAGGCGTTGTTTGCGGAGTGGAGGACCTTTGGGGGCTGGAAGGGGGTTTAGGGGTGGATGGGAGTGGTGATGTATATATGCTGCTGGTATCTGGGCTGTCTACAGATGTTAAGTGTAGGTAGATGTGGACCCGCCTACCAGTGAGGATTTGGGGTGTGCAGCACTTGCGTACGTGCCAATGGTATTGTACATAGCGTGGTGGTCTAGACTGCTGGAATGTGAAGCCTTACGCCTGCCAGAAATGGCAGTCCAAACCACGGCACATGTAGTCTGGATGGTAGTTACCCCTTATTCTAACACCGAGCAACTTCCTACCTGCTCGTACCTGCATACGGGGTAGTTGTGTAGGGGTCCTCTGTATGTTAGGAGCAGGAGGTATATATATTGAGTATCCATTAGACCCACTCAAGGGCATGTGGTGTAATGGGAGCATGCGGGTACTGATTAAGGGGGCATCCCGCGATGTCGGTTCGACCCCGACCGTGTCCAATATTTTTCCTCTTTGGATCTCCTTTGTAGCTTAATGTTAACGGGACTATCTATAAGTCTGCGAGATGACCGATAAGGAAGGAGATCGCGATATTAACTCTGGATGATGTACTCTTTCTGCATCAACCCTCGATGCGAAAGTGCTATCTATCTAGAGGAGTCAGCGGAAACGGCGATGGACTTCTCTCACGTGGTCAGACATGCTCCAGACACCGGAGTCGATGATTGCCCAGTCTATAAGTGATTATACCAAGGCTAGCTGTGATCTGAGTGTGAGGAATGACTACGTACTTAGGGTAGGGAGGTAGCCATAATACGATATTGGGAGATTGGGATTGGGAGTGGGTTATTACGATCGAATTAGCCCTTAGCACTTGCATATAACAGCTGTGGCGCGTTGCAGGATACCTACCTATGCAGGATCAGGTTGTAAGTCGTTTCGCATACCACCTCGATGGCCACTTGGAATTCTCAGGTGGCAAAGGCGAGAATAGACACGAAGTGAAATCGACAGGAAGTAATACCAATAGCAGCAGAGCCACTCCGAGTGAAAGGATCTCACGAACACATGAACATATCAAGACTTCTTATGTGAGCTCGGTGATTAGGTGTCCCTTTGCACGAAAAATTACTGTTGGTATTCTGGCTCGTGAGATCCGGTTCTTGGCTGCGATGTTGGTACATGTTACTGTTGGTACTATTCAAAGAGGCACAGCACTCGAAGGCTAGATAGAGGCTTACACTCACCCCCCTTCCGAGCCTGGTTTTATTCTTCCAGCTGCCCCTCCCGCTATTTTCCCATTCTTCCCTTCTCGCTTGAGCATCCGTCATCTATAGCTTCTACCCACCTTTCGCCTGTCTGCTAACAATACCTTTGTGTCTCGTGCTCTTGACGGCTTCAGAATCAGCATTCTCCCAAGCCTCTTCTGGCGCTCACCAGGTACTCAGCACAAAATGACTGCCAATCCCCCTCGTACGTGCCATGTCAGATCTGAACCTCTCGGTGGCGACAGTCCCTAATTTTCGCTCTTAGTTATCACAAGCACGGAGTGGGCGGTTATTGCTCCCGGCATGGCCCAGATGATCGCGGGCGGCCCGGGAGTTGCCCCCGCCAAGCACATGGCCGAGCACTCTAATGCCATGCTGCCCTTTTCCAATGCCGGCACGGTGGTAGTCGACATGGGGTGCGGCCCCGGCCAAGTCACCAACGCCGTTCTCGAGGCTTATCATGACCAGCTGCCCACGGCAGCCAAGGTCATCGGTGCCGACAGCAACCCGCATATGCTGGGGGAGTATGAAAACCGAAAAACTACGGAGATCGGCAAGGGGAACACGCATTGGGAGCGCTCCGAGTCTCTCAAGATTGACATCCATACCTGCGACGGCTTGGCTGACAACTCCGTGACTCATATGCTCTGCGGCTTCGTCGTGTTCCTCATCCCCAATCCGGGCGAGGCCATCGCCGCCATGAAGCGCGTCATGGCGCCCGGTGGTGTGATTGCCATGTCCTCTCTCGCCAGTAGTCAATGGAGCGAGCTGTCCACGTATCCGGCCAGGGTCCGCGGGGAAACCAACGCACCTTCGGGTCCTGCCAACGGCTGTTCCGCGCCCGAGGATGTGAAGAACCATTTGCAAAAGGCTGGGTTCCAGGATATCGAGGTGCTTCAAGTCGAATCCTACATGGAGTTCGATGACTACGAGACTGTCTGCAATTTCATCTTGACTAAGCTCCCCATGGCCACGAGAATTGTTGGAACTATGACGGAGGAAGAGGTCTCGAAGACACGGGCGATGATGGTTGCCAAATTGAAAAGCTGGTGCCCCGAGCTACCCGCGAAGTTGACGGGGGAGGTGAACATAGCGTACGCTCGCAAGTAAGCCACAGGGCTGAACAAGCCTTGATGTCGGGTTTTGCTAGGAGAATCTGGAGCGGTTCGCCAAGGACGTCTGGCACGCGCGGACAATACAGTTCCCCACGTGTACGAAGAATTGGTGCTCGCTGGGAGTCTGGGACCAAGGAGCCAGACTCCAGAGCGCGATCAGCCGGTGCCGCCTAGGAGACGATGACTGCGGCGAGGGATTTCAGGCGACCGGCTTCAAAGATCCATGCGCTCTCATTTCTTCAAATATAGGAACGATTACAGGCTACTCTTTGCATTGAGATCTAGCTATATATGCTAGACTGTTGAAATGAGCCCATCTGAACTCAAGATCCTTGAGTTCTACTAGTATTGTTGTTAGATGCGGGGTTGCACAGTGATCCGCTTGTGCTCGTAGGAGTGAAGCCGGTCTCGCCGGTCTACAACAATGAAGGGGATCCCAATAATTATAACTTTCCCATGCATGGAATCAAAAGACTGGATTTGGGTCTGCAATAAAGATGGCGCTCTTTAAATTATACCTAACTTGCTATTTATTCCCTTGATGGACCCTTATCAATACTGTAGTATAAATGGCACTATAATACGTTTTAAGGTATCTATGTTTGCAATAGGATCCATTCCACCCGAGATAGCTAGGACTTTCACCCGTCCCAAGCCTTTCCAGCCTGGAGGTTAACAGAGTCATACAGGTAAGGATATCCGGCATACCGGGACGGAAAAAGATCCCCTACATAGAAGGGGAAACGAAAGCAAAAGTGGAGGCGCTTCATTGAAGCTATAGGAATTGAACCCTACCCGATTTGAACGGATGACCTTGTGGAAACTAATCGCTATTGAGCAACTGGAATCACATATTCTACCAACTGAACTAAGGGTCCGAATTGGTTATTGTTGAAAATACCCCTCAAAATTAATGCATATCCTTCACATCCGGCCAGGGTGTTAAGTCTCAATAAGCAGCCTGACAGGAAGGTGCGCAGGTAGGTGGGTCCGCTCCAGTCCGTTCCTGCTGTTTCTACTTGCGCACCCCGCGAATGACCAGTTGAAGGAGCTGTTCTAGGAAGGCACAGCGCAACCAGTTTCTTCCTCCTGAGGTCTCACAGACATGCCTGATCATAAAGTAGAACCTCAACCAATGCATCACCCTTCTGAAGTCCCATCTTTATTCCAGTGTCTCAACAAACTACAACATTCGCATTTGCATTGTATTATGTGCATAGACATCATATGTTGCTTTAGCACTGTCACCTCGAACAGCAGAGAGGCTTTGTCGATAAGTAGTGTGATGCAATTGATCTTCAATTCAGGGGGTTTGCATCATGTTTACTAGGTCATGTTGAATGAGATGCCCGACCACTACATACAAGTCTCAATTAGTCAATTGAACACCTCTAGCCTACCTGAGGCGATGATTAAATTGTAGGCTCCAACAGTTGACTTGAGTCCAAGCACACTAGGCTGGTAGCACTACCTAATCGTGTACGAAGTCATTCCACATCACAATACCACATCTGCGTGGCATATTACGTCGACAAATTGTGGGTGCATAGTTAGAAATGAAGGATTAGTTGAAAAATGATTTAATGAGGAAGATGACGGGCCTGATCAAGTTCTCGAACCGCCGCAGCGTGCATACAGCCACAGCCACCTGCCCACCGCCACTAATACTACGCTGCAATGTACGAATTTGTCACTATTGGCTCGTAGCTGGTCGGCGCTTATGTGGCAAGATTAGTAGTGCTGAGGGGTGAGAAGGGGCCGCGGCACTACAACTAATACAGGATGACAGGATGACAGGCTGCAATGGGTGCTTTCAACCTGATCATAATGCTGCTGCCTGCCTCGACTCTTCTGCTTCCATTCTCGATGTTCTATCGGACCGGGAAGAATATTCCCAAGGAGGTAAAAAGGTAGGCCCTTGCCATTGTTTTGGCGCATATCGACTTAGGGGTAAGTCTATGGGGTCAGAAAAGCCCATCCTCATCGCGTGGTTTAATTGATAGGTAGTCTAGAGAGTCACCCCAGGCCTCGATCGCGCCCTTTATACCAATGCCGAGCTTTCATGACTACACAATCGGCTGGCTTTGCGCCGTCGGTAGAGAAAGCGTAGCCGCCCGAGTTTTCCTCGACGAAGAACACGAAAAACCAGACTCTCTACCCGCAAAAGATGACAACACCTACACCTTAGGTCGTGTTGGAAAGCACAATGTCGTTATTGCAGCCTTACCACGCGGCGAGTACGGACTTGTCAATGCGGCGAACGCTGCCAAAGACATGATACGCAGCTTTCCGAATCTCAGAGCTGGCTTCATGGTTGGCATCGGTGGTGGAGCTCCCGCGAAGCACGATATCCGTCTAGGCGACATTGTGGTCAGTTCTGCTGGCTCTGGGATTGGGGGTGTATACCAGTTCGACTTTGGGAAGACTATTCAAAACAAGGAATTTGTGGCTACAGGGTTTTTAAACAAACCGCCGGCATTCATCATGACGGCAGTATCTGCACTCGAAGCTACATATGCCATTGAAGGGCATCAACTCAAGGAAGCTGTCGCGAGCATTCTTGATAAATATCCTAGACTGCGGAAAGATTACCGACGACCAAGCATCAGCACCGATCGACTTTACAAAGCCGATGTCCTTCATTCCCCGCACGAGGATTGTATGCTCTACTGTGGAGACGATACATCGAGTCTCATCGCACGGGAGGTACGCTCGGAATACGAAGACGACCCGGCAATATACTATGGCCTTGTTGCTTCCTCTAACCAAGTGATAAGAGACGCCTTAATCCGCGATAAGCTTTCAATAGAGAAGGACGTGTTGTGTTTCGAGATGGAAGCTGCCGGATTGATGAATCAGTTTCCCTTCCTTATCGTCCGTGGTATATGCGACTATTCTGATACCCATAAAAATAAGTTGTGGCAAGGCTACGCAGCGATGACAGCTGCCGCTTATACAAAAGATCTCCTCCGCAATATTGTGCCGAGTAGGGTAGAGGCGGAGAGAACGCTGGTCGGGATACTATCAGATGGTAAGCACTTGTATCCCCAGTACCTAATCAATATATCGTATATCGTTGGTAGATATCCAACGAAACCAAAGCGTGTCAAGTCCTTT